GTGAGTTACCCTGGTAATGAGGTCTCCAGGCAGTCTGCTGTTTGCACTGTGTCTTCTACTCTTGATCACTTGAGAAAAACAAATGCCTTTGGGGGAGAAACTCAGCTTCTGAGACAGAGATTTGGCACCTCATTAAGAACCTTCAATCCAGAGTTTCTGCTTTGTGATTCAAAGAAGAGCTTCTTGCAGTGACTAGGACTAGGAAAATCTGGAGGAACTTAATGTGGCTTTTCTAGTCCTACTGTGTTCTCACACATAGGAGGACTGAGACAGACATCATTTCCTTCTCCTTATACTGGCTTTTAGGTGTGATAATCCGAGTGGTGCCTAGAGATTTGATACTAAAGGGAGAATTCCTGTGAAAAATATAGCACTACCTGGAAAGAAGTAAATTCACAGACTGTTCAGAAACAGTTGCACACAGTAATCTGCAGATTAACAAATAGTGAGTTTTAAATTTTTTTGCATTTTTGCCAAATGTCTTAGAAACATTTGATAAATATCGATACAAGTTGCAATCTAGTACTTCAGTCAAATCTGCAGAGTGCTGGATGTGACTTGGACATGAGCACAAGTCTTTAGAAGTTCCCTGAAGCAGGTGAGTAACTGCTAGGCTGTGGAGTATGTGTCAGAGCAGGTTTCTCAGTTATCACAGAGCAAGTGCCAATCTGCAGAGGAATGGGAACCTGTGTCTCACAGGAAATAATATAATCTCTCAGAATTTTGAAACATAGATTAGCAGTGTAATGAGGAAAAGAAGTAAAACCAGGCCTTTCTCTAAGGTGTATCTCAAAGGCTGTTCAAGAATCTAAGGTCCACGTGAGCCAAGATTACCTTGATCTTTCTTCTTTTCCAAGGTCTGGCAGAGCACATGTATATGTGACCACTGAGCAGAAGGAACAGGTGAACAAATGGTTTTGCTTGGTGAAATCAATATAAATTATATTTTAAGAAGACCAGCATTAATGAGAATTTACTAAATTTCAGAAAACAGTATGGTAAATTTCATTTTCTATTGAAAAGTTGTAATAAGTGTATTTATTTAGTACTGGACTGCATTCATTTTTCATCATTTATTTAAAATAAAGAAAAGATTATAAGCCACCACTTTCAACTTCAAATTCAAATGTGTCATCTGAATTTTGGGACATCATTTAAGCATTTCCTCCATTTATCTCTTTAGCTTTTACTACTCATTTCCATCTCCTAGACCCGAGATGAATAATCATTTTCTTGACTATGCTTCCTGTGTATCCCCTGCAGCTTGTGCCCCTGTGCTAATCATTCTGGCTGTTTGCCTCTTGGAACTCTAGGTGCTGGGGCAGAGGAAATTTTTTTGAGTGTTATTGACTAATAATCTGGAAGACCAGGGAAAGGGAAATACTCCAGGCCACTGTTTGGAATAAAATCTGTTTCATAAACTGAATTAAGTAACATGAGTAATGGGCATGAATTTCACTGTGTATCAGTATAATGGAAGCTGTGATTTAACACTGTCTCCAAAGTATCATCATTAACATGGAATAAATATCATTTTAGATTTTTCTGGGTATATTAGCTGGATGGACTTCCTGATCCAGGAGAGAACTAAAAATTTTGGGCATTATCACCACATTATTAGAAGTGAAACTTAAAAATGTATTCTACTTATTCCACATCTATGTGAGGACAGCAACTGTAGCTGTGTATGACTCTGATCAGTGAAACTTCAGAAACATCTTTTAAGGAGCATGAAAACATCTATATAAGTCAACAAAAGAAAAATGATCCAAGTTTTATAAGCAGGGCTGGGGTATCAAAGGATTCTTTACAATCCAAAAAATGTTGGAATGAATCCTCCACCTCTGTTGTTTCTCTGTGCCACGTACAAATTTAAACTGATTCACTTGTGAAAAATAAAAGGGAATAAGCTCTAAAAAATTATTACTTAACAAGAGCTTTCTGTGTGTCAATTGCTGAGTTAAATTCTTTAAATAAATTCACCTACTTAATTTTCATAGCAACTCTGTCTTTCATTAACATAATCAACTTGTAAATGGGCTTGAATATTGATTTTAGAAATTTGAGGGGCTGTAAAGTCATTTACTCAGGGAAGCTCCAGGAACAGCTTTGTTTTTTAAAAATTAAAGAGAAAAAAACAATAAAAACAATGATATGGAGTTTCAAAACAAGATTATAGGTGATTAACAATGGTGAACGTATGGTGTATTATTATCTTTAAAGCAGTTTCTTAGATTACAAGATAAAGGCATGCAAAATTGATCAAACATTATAAGCACTTTTACCTTGCTTCTTTTCTACTTTCCTCCATCGCCCCTTTTTTTCTTTCTTTCACAAAACCTACTATACATTTTGGATCTTATTTACTCTTTCATTTTCTTACACTAGGGAGACAATATGATGTTTATACATGTGGGTCTGATTTATTTCACTTACAAGTATGGTCTCAAGTTGCATCCATTTACCTATTAAAAGTCACAAACTTACCCTTCTTTCTGAATAGTACTCTATTGTATAAAAATATGACATCTTTTTATCTATTTCTTGGATGATGAGAATTTGAGTTGTTTCCAAGATTTAGCTATTATAATGTGCGGTGTTATGAATATGGATACGCATACATCCCTTTGGTATGATGTTCGTAAGTCTTCTGATCAAACGCCCAGAAAAGCAATAGTCCCAGGTTTTTGAGGAATCTCCACCCGGATTTTCACAGTGGTTGCACCAGTCTACACTCTCACCAATACTGGAGTTCCTTTATCCCCATGTACCCTCTAACATTTATTATTGGCCAATTTCTTGATGACAGCCATTTTTTCAGTGGTGAGATAGAATCTCAGTATTGTTTTAATTTGCGTTTTTCTAGTGACTAATGATGCTGAACATTTTTTCATACATTTATTTGCCTTTTGTATTTCTGCATCTGAGAAATATGTTTCATCTCCAATGCCTATTTTCGGATTGGGCCTTTGAATTTTGGGATCCTGATTCTTTTTAATTCTTTTTGTGTTCTAGATACAACATGTTTGAGGGACAGCTGTCCAAATTTTTTCCTGTGCGGTGTGATCCCTTTTTACTGTGTTGGAGATTTCTTTGATGTGCATAAACTCTTTAATAAGATGAGATCCCAGTTGTTGAGTCTTTGAAGTTCTTCCTGTGCAATTTGAGTTTTGTTCATGAACACTCTGCCTGCCCCGATAGCTTCCAGATTTCTACCTATCTTTTTGACTAGTAAATTTAGTGTTTCTGTTTTAATATTTGATCTACTTTTGTTTTAGTTTAGTACATGGTGATAGACATGGGTCTACTTTTAGTGCTTGAGATGTAAATAGCCTGTTTTTCCAGCAACATTTATTAAAGACACTATCTTTCTTACAGTGATCATGCTTGGCTCTTTTGTCAAAGGTAAGCTGGCTGAGTGTGTTTATAGTTGTGTTTGTGTTTTTTAATCTGTCAGGGACAAATTTGGGAAGAGTGTAATGAACAGAGTCAGTAAGATGATGTAGATTAAGAGCCCTTGAAAAAGGGAGATGTATTAAGAGATCTTTCCAGTGATCGTAGGCAATGACAATGGTCATTAGAAGTTAGGTGTTGGTAGAAAGCACCAAAAAAAGGAGGATGCAGTGAAGAAGTGCAGGAGACATTACCTTTGGGTTGGATAGAACAGAGAACGGCACAGTGGAGATAATGTTAAACTTGGGTAAATCTGTCCCAGTACAGTCCCTAGTGCTGAATTCACTGAGATAAGATAACATGTGAAAGCATCAGCTCATTTCCACCCCTAACACAGCATGGAAAGGAATGGGAAAAGCTTGTTTTCTATTTGAATAGATATCTTCAGATTTTTTGTCTTTCTATTTCTATGGCCAGAATTCAAAGAGACAAAGTAAATATCGACACTGATTTATAAATCCATCTCTTCTGATCTTATAAAGTGTTTGCTTCTTGTTCTTTCAGAAATAAGTCAGTAGACTGCTCTGTTCTCTAGAGGAGCACGTGGTATCAAATGCTGCTGACAGCTTTGGAAAAGAATCAGTCTCAGGTATCTTTCATGTTTCACCGGGTCACTCAACATAGACTTCTTCAGGGACTCCCGCAAGGTGTCCTGAGGAGCAAAGACCTGGGCACGCTTGGTCTGTTTCACTATTTCTCCACTGACTGGACCAAACTTTTCTTTTTTTCTCTTCTCTTCTCTTCTCTTCTCTTCTCTTCTCTTCTCTTCTCTTCTCTTCTCTTCTCTTCTCCTTTCTCTCTCTCTCTTTCTTTCTTTCTCTCAACATTTTGACTGAGCGTAATTGATAACAAATAACTTGAATTACTAAATGCATAACTCTCATGAGTTTGAATGTAGGTATAATCTTACCAAAACATTACCTGTGGAAATACACACTCAATATCTTCAGAAGTTTCCTTCAGTCACTTTGGTGTTTTGCTTCATTTTATTTCATAATAAGACACTTATGGGATCAGTGCTATTAAAAATGTTAAAATTTATATTACATCATGACTGATTATATATACTGTGTAGTATAGCAAAGCTCAAAAATTCACTCATGTTGCATAGTTGAAGCTTTATGGCATGGGGTAACAACTTACTAATTTCCGTTATCCTGATATCTAGTAGACACTGGAACACTCTCTGTTTGATCAACTTGACTACATTAAGTACCTCATATAATTAAGTCATACACTTTTGGCCTTCCTTTGACTAGGTTATTTCACTTAGTATGCATCCTGCAGGTCTATTTATGTCACTGTAAATCATCGATATCCTTCTTTTTAAGGGTAAGTAATATTCCATCCCACATATCACATGTTCCTTCTCCATTTGCTGACAAACATTTGGATAATTTTCATAATTTCCAGTTTTTAACATCACAAAAAATGTTGGGTGTATAAATATCACTTCAGAGATGTAATTTTAACTGTGATAAATGAAAAGATAATCAATAGCAGTAATTAACAGGGAAGCACAAGTGAAAATGACAATGAGATATTACCTCCCAACAGTAACAAGAGATATTATTTTCTAATCTATTAATACAAGATACTAAGGGTTTGAAGGGATTTGAAGAAAACAAAACCCAAATACCTCCTTGGTGGAAGCATAAAATGGTAAAACCACTATGGAAAACAGTATGGAAGGTACACAAATGTTTAAAAATAGAACTACCATAAGATCCAGCAATTCCAATTCTGGGAATAGAAACAGGAACCTCCAATCAGGTACCTATTAAAGATCGCTACTTTTCTTCTCATCCCTGTTTCTACTTCAGTTCTAGGATCCCAGGAGAACATTTCGACAGCATCAATTAAGAAGCAGACAAGGAAGAAGACTGAGGAATTGGGCACTAATGGAATGCCGATGATGGACCTGTGATTATCCCTGCGGCACCAGCAACTGCCTGGAGAGCACAAGATCCTGAGTTTGACTATCAGTACCAAAATAAATAAATATATACATACATATAGTCCAAATAGTGATGACCTCTGTGATCTAGAGCAATGCCCAGAGGCTGGACACGCTCTGGCCTGAACACCTTGGTCCAGCCTGCTGAGTCTCATGCTTGACCCATCACACTTTTCCTTCCTTTGTCCAGCTCCTTCACACCTGGACCAACTACAATGACAGTGCCTGGATCAAATTCAACTTACATCACGGAGTTCCTCTTTGAAGGCTTCTCTAGTTATGGGTGGCAGCACAGGCTTGTGCTCTTTGTTGTTTTCCTAACACTGTACCTGCTGACTCTGTCTGGCAATGTGATTATTGTGACAATTATTCGCCTGGATCGTCACCTTCACACTCCCATGTATTTCTTCCTGAGCATGCTTTCCATCTCTGAGACTTGCTACACTGTGGCCATCATTCCACGTATGCTTTCTGATCTCCTGAATCCTCAGAAGACTATTGCTTTCCAACACTGTGCCACACAGCTCTTCTTCTATCTTACCTTTGGCATCAACAACTGCTTTCTGCTGACAGCCATGGGATATGACCGCTATGTGGCCATCTGCAATCCTCTAAGGTACTCAGTTATCATGGGCAAAACGGCTTGTATCCAGCTGGCATCTGGGTCACTGGGAATTGGCTTGAGCATGGCCATTGTCCAGGTAACATCCGTGTTTGGTCTGCCTTTTTGCAATGGCTTTGTTATCTCCCATTTCTTCTGTGATGTAAGACCCCTCCTGAAGCTGGCTTGTGCAAATACCACTGACAATGAAATCATTAATTTTGTCGTGAGTGTTTTTGTCCTTGTTCTACCAATGACCCTGGTCTTCATCTCCTACATCCTTATTATCTCCACCATCCTCAAGATTTCCTCAGCAGAGGGCAGGAAGAAGGCCTTTGCCACCTGTGCCTCCCACCTCATAGTGGTCATCATCCACTATGGCTGTGCCTCGATCGTCTACCTCAAGCCTAAGTCTAAGAGTTCCCTGGGCCAGGACAGACTCATCTCAGTGACCTACACTGTCATCACACCCCTGCTGAACCCTGTTGTGTACACCTTGAGGAACAAAGAGGTCAAAGTTGCTCTGTGCAGGCGATTGTGAAGAAAACCAATCTGGAGAGTTTGCAAAGTTCTTTTCTTTACATACACAGATTATGTGTATTAATTAAAATACCATTTCAACATATAAGATCAAGAATAGTGAGCTAAGTGGAACTGAGTGCTAATTGAGGTACTAAGCTTTTCTGTGTTCTTTGCTAGAGATCTGAGGAAATGACTTGAATTAGGAAATAATGTTGTACAAAGATATTTGTGTGTAATTGACAACTAAGAGCACTTACACTTACACAGAGGTATACACATTCTGAGAATATTTTCAGCTTCATAAACAAATTGGCTAACACAAAATCTAGCAGAGTCCTGGTGAATGGTTTGAAACCACTTCAGAAAGATTATTTTCCTGTTGGTAGCAATGCTGGGATAGTTGAGTGGCCAGTGTGACATTCAACTGGGGAAACACATATGCACATAATATGGCACAGTTCCTTAGATTGTCTTGGCTACCTTCTACAGTGACATCACAAACTGGGGAACCCTCAAATGAGCAAGGACATGCCTTCCAAAATGGACACCACTTCCCTAACTCGTCTAGAAATAGAGAGTACAATGTAAGACATTAAAAACCAACAGTCACAGAGTACAGAGTTAGGTTTTACAAGGTCATGACATGTCCAAAAGAGAAAAGTCATACTGAAAGGAAACCAGGCTGAAGGGTTGAGCTTTTTTTGTACTCTCATTAATGGACTACTGAGGATCCCATTTGAGAGATTTCCCTGCATTGACCTAAATTCTCTGAAATAGTGTTATAAACATAAGCACTTTTACAATATTACATAGCGTGTATTAACGAACAGCAATCCAAAGCTTTGTTTAAAATTTTACAAGAAGCTCATAAACCTCTTGTTAACTTTTAGAAGTTTCTTTGATCACATCATCTTTTCACCTGTGTTCTAAATAGCATTTCATATCTGAGCATTACAGGAAGCAACACTGGGTGCTCTGGGGCAAGAAAGGATGCCTGTATCATCTTCACACAGAACTCTTGACTTTCTGTTGTAGAGTCAGTCACACTACAAGTTCCAAGCATAGTTACTATGGTACTCAGAACCCATCTGATCCAGTGATGTGACTCTATAAAGGCAAGACCTCAGCTGTGGAAGTGCCATCAAACTTGCAGCAGTGGAAGATGGCATGAGCCAGTGGAAATAAACAAGTACTTTAGCTCAAATTAACATGGTCCCTTGGCAAAATATCAAGACCTGGAAAGTCAGGCCCCAGACTGTTGCTGGAGATAATGATATCTTTGCCTCAGTGTCCAAATTGCAGAAATGATAGTCAGTTCATTTCTGTCCTGTTGGTTAAAATTATTTTGTACAATAATTCTGTATAACGGCTCAAATCTGAATAAAGTTCTGATCAATGTAACAGCATTTATTTGCTGAAGATTAGTTTGTTGGCTATTGTAGGCTACACACCCAGACTGCATCACTCAGGACTCACACATGCATTCTCTCAGTGCTGCAGAAAATGTGGGCTGAAAGCTCCATGAGTCCCTCAAGGAACTGTACTTGCTATGAAGCTGCTTCCTCCCAGTTCTGACTGTCGTTTACGGTAAAGAGATATGTCTATTTCAGGAATCTGACTGTTATTAAGATACTTATGAAGAGGTTTCCTCGATCCAGAGTACTCATCTGTGAGATGGACTGAGCTATTTGCTTGTCTGTGCATTTTCAATTACCTGTCTGTTTTACCCTGTTACCATGCACATTGCAGAGGTGGATAGCATTCCTTAATGAAATTCTTGCTTTAAAGTCTATCTCAGAGTCCATTTCCATGGGTTCCAAATCTGTAAAACTTTAGGAAAGCAGTTTCTAGAGAAGTAATTATCATTAAGTGAGGAATCAAAATTTAGTTGTGATATGTCTAGTGGAGGAAGAAGGTCAGTAACTCCTCAATTTGCCTGTTTTTAAAAAAATGATTTCATTGTGTTTATGGAGCTACATTTACTGTGATTCAATTTAGCTGTCAGCCATATAGTGTTGTCTGCTTGGAAATCGGTTAAAAATAAAGATTTGAATTTTTCTCTGAATTTACAAGAAGTCATTTATTCCTTCCAAAAGTTTTCTTTGAACATTTTTAAATGCGATGCAGTCTGGCACTACCACCTTGCAGAGAGACTGCTGGTCACTGTCAGTATTATGTTGAAATTCAACCTTAAGAAGTAATAGTTAAATTGGGGCTGTGACTTCCCAGCTTTCATGAGGGGAAGAGTGTTGGTGATCATGTACATAAGTGAACTTGATAATGATCTGTAATGCTATTTTAAATGGTATTTGGAGGGATACTCAAGGGTTTGATGAAGTACTAAATGGTAGAGGTATTTTTACGTAACTGTTTAGAGCTGAGCAGACATCTAAAGTTGGTATTCAGCTCCCTTGTCCTGGGAACCTGTGCTGTTTCCAGGTGTCTTCTGATACCCCTGTCATTCATAACAGTAAAGTATTCCCACGTCTTTCTTTCTTACTTGGCAAGTAGAGGAAAAAGTGTAATCTTTCCAGAACCCTGAGGTTCTCAGATTACTGACTAGATAAATCTGTGTCTCAGTGTCTACTCTAGGCTGGTCTGTGAAATTTATTTTCCATTAACTATGATTTGTGAGCCACTTTCTTGATTTACAAAAATGTACATCTAATTATGAGGAACTCATGAAGATCTGTGCTGGCCTATAATGAAAGGATAAATGTGTAAAAAAAAAATTGGAAATTACAGAGTGCCACAATGTGTATCTGAGATGGATTCTTGTAGCCATTTGTCCTTCTCTGGCATCGATAGAAAGTATTTCATATGCAGCACAGAGAAAATTCTCTTTAAAAAGGTAGATTCTGGGGTCTGCAAAATACTTAATTCTGCAGTCCATGGAATGAACAAAAAAGTGGCATTTTTATACAATTTAGAACTGCTCAGCTATAAAGAAAGATTAACTTAAGGCTTTTGTAGATAAATGGGAGCAACTTGAGACCATACTCATAAATTACATAAATCAGACTTACATGTGTAATATTATATTGTTTCCCTAGTGTGAAAAACTGAAAGAGAAAATAAGAACCAAAACATACAATAGATATTGTGAAAGAGAAAGAAACTGTTCCAAAGAGAAGAATAACTAGGATAAGGGAAAGGTAAAAAGAAACAAGGGAAAAGACTATATATGTACAGGATCAATATACTATACTACTAATCTCTGTTAGTTCATCAAAAAAATAGCTTGTGGTTTCATTGTTTGTTTGCACATTTTTTCATGCTTATATTTTGTAATCTGAACAACTACTTTAATGATAATGATATGCAATATATTAGCCATTGTTAATCTCCTTCTACTTTGTTTTGAAATTCTGTATCATCCTTTTTTCAAAAATAGTCAATTCTTTGTTCTGTGTACTTTCTTGAGTAAGCTATGAGTAACTATCAAGGAGGTAACGAGGAGGAAGAAATGGCAGACGTGGGTCTTAAAGGAACACGGAATTTAGGTACTTGAGAGAGCACAGAAAGGAAAGGACCAAGGTGTGGAACATGATGAGAAGTTCACCCTGCAGCTTCCTAGCCACGACTTCTGAACCACTCTGCCTAGATAATCACAACAGGGTAACTGCGTGTCAGCGGAATGAATGATACATACCTGGGCTGAAGGCATCTTACAGAAAACTTTGTCCAAGACCCTCATTTTACAAAGAAGAAATAGAATCTCAGAAACAGTAAGGAACTGTCCCAAACCCTTTGCTAGTTAATGGTAGCTGGATCCTCCATATCTGTCCTTTATCCATAGCTCTCTAATCTTGGATGGAGGGCAAGAGGGGAGGCCAATGTGTCTGTCATGAAACCCTCAGGACATGAGCCTCAAGACGAGCACATTTCTACCCACATGAGGTAGCTCTCAGGTTTTAAATTCAAATCATTAGGCTTCAGACCCACATCTAAAAAAGGAGTAACTTCCTCTCTAGCCTGATGTCTGTGACTGGGGCTAGGTGTCCTTAAAGCAAGGGCTGGCCTTATATTTTTGCATGTGTATTTATGTTTCCTGTAACTTAGAGTGTTTCCCAAATCTGTGTTTTGCTGTTTTCCTCACAGCTGGGAACCTCATGGCTATTTCTTCATTATTGTTTCTGATACATCCTATCTTTCCTATAAGTTATGTATAAACTAGGTCTTTATACAGGATTCTTTATGCTTCTTACATTGCTTTACATATGTCACATTGTTTTGTCTTGTGTGTGCATCACACTAGCTGCTGAAGAATACAGTTCCCGGTGATTATTGGGCAGAGATAGTTTTCTTTTTCTCACTGCTAACTGTGACCCCGCTCCATTCCTACTGATTGCCCTTGTATTTTCTCATGTGGCCACCATACAAACCCTCTTTAAAAATGTAACTAGCTGAGAGAACTGGTTCATGCCCAAATACCAAAACTTTAAGAGGCTGAGGCATGAGGATTGCAAATATGAGCCCAGCATTGACAACTTAGACAATGTGTCTCAAGGGTGTGTCTCAAAATGAAAAATAAAAATGGCAGTAGGAATATAGCTGAATGAGGGAACCTTGAGTTCCATGTATACTACTACTACATAGATAGACAGATAATATATAAATAGATAATTTAATAAAAATAGATGGAACATGCAGTTTACTTCTTCAAAGGAAACATAGAAGCTAGTAATGACATCATCATCTCTGTCACATTTTGTTGAACAGTAGTAACCCAGAGCTCTGGCCACATTCAAAAGAAGGGATTATATATGGATGTGATTCTGTGTGGTTCAACCAAATCTGCCATAGTTATAATTACCTGAAATTCATGTTATTAATTTAATAATGTATTTGTGACTCTATTTGTACTTAGTGTACTTAGATTTTGATTTTTAGTCCTTTGGTCATTTCTCCTGTCTATCTGGATCATATTGGTTGCATTCTAAAAGCTATACGAGGAGTCTGCAACTTTTTCTCCAAAAGGGCCAATAAATTCATTATTTAGGTTTATTAGCCATAATATCTGCTACATGTACTGAATTCTGCCAGTAGCATACAAATAGCCAGAGAAAATATGTAAATGAACAAATGTTATCATGGCTCAAAAAAAACACACTTGGTTAATGAAATTTGAATTTCACATGTTTTTCACATCATAGAATACTACTGTTCTTTTCATTTGTTGTCAATCATTCAAAAATGTAACAACTAGTGCAAAGCTTTTAGGCTGTACAAAAGCAGGTGACAGGTTCATGAACTGATGTCTACCATTGGCTAACCATGTTCTAAATCAACATATTACTAAGACAAAGAAAGACTGTACATTATGTTTTCACACTGTAGAGAGATTTTATTTTACTTCCTGCCAAGTAGTTGACTAGAGACAGGGATGTATTTATCTAACTAAAGAATAAGCTAATTTAAAGCTGGTTTCAGAAGGCTAATTTATTTCCAATTTTCCCTTGCAAGGGTGGAGGGCTTCAGTGTATAGAGTCTGTCAGATGATTTGTTCAGTTAGTTCTGTAGACCAAAAAGGACAAACAACAAATTACAGTTCCTTAAGGAAACTGCACAGAAGTGAATGTTAGGCTAGCATATCTGCACATGTCTTCTTGAATCTTGGCTCCTTGAACTGTTTACTGCTTTTATAGATAAATTCACATCTTATAGTCACTGTATAATTCTTAGAGAAATGGAGGAAAACTAATTCTATCCTTCTATTTACAGCAGCATGAAGAGTAGCAGGATAAAAAACACCTTGGTTAGAACTCAGTCCAATTCTATAGCCAGGCCTCTGTTTGATCTTTTTTAACAAAAAGAGTGGTACTTAAATAAATAGGTAGTTAGATAGATAGATAGACAAACAGGCAGGCAGACAGACAGACAAACAGATAGATAGGCAAACAGACAAACAGGTGGGTAGAAGACAGATACAATTTACCATGTTTTTGTGAGAAGAAATAATGGGAGGCAAAAGTCAAATAAATTGTGATCATCACACTCACCATCATTTTTAAGATTGCCATCTTATCTTTCCATGAAATAAAGAATAAAAGACCTAATAAGAAAAATGTTCATCTAAATACTTGCCAAGTTACTGGCAAATATAGGCTGAAATTACAAGTATCTCTAGTTCAATGAGTTCTTTTTCACCAATACTAAGATGTGTTCATAGTTTGTTGCTATTATATCTAACCCAGTAAAATCCAATTTCAAATTTATTGTAACTAACAGATATGTAGAAAATTATGAGGGTAAATATCCTGGGATTAATCTAGATTTGCCATTCATCATCTCAGTGTCTTTAGAAAAATAACAGAAATTATGTTATCTTCAGTTTACCACTAAGATAAAATGATTGAATGTACATATATTACCTAGATTTATCCTAGCACACAAAAACAAGTGATAAGTATTAGTAATTTTTCTGTAGAAGGAACAATCCTCGGTAAACCAAGAGAACAAAAGGTATATAAAAAGAGTCTGGATTTAAATGTACTCAAAACTGAATTAGGAATGTAAGATCTTCACAAAGAAGTAAACACATGTGATGAATGTCTTTATGTATTTGGGGACTGTAGAGAAGTGTGAGAATCTATTGGAGCTACAGATAAAGTGATGAATTTAGTATTCAGAGGATGACCTCCCAGAGCTAGGGTCAGGGGCCAAAATGAGCGAGGGGTGTGCGGTGCGGGGAAGACAGAGAATAAATGCCAGTTTATTGTATAGAAGTTCATGATGTAGAATTTAGGAATAGAACTGATAATTCTACTCAGTGACATTAAACTTGTCCCTCATGTCAAATACTTGAAGGTCATTTCTGTGTACACATGACAATAAGAATTGCTACTTAAACCTCTCTTGGAAGTCATTGCTTCTCCTCTTTCATGTGTAAGAAGTTATCCTATAAGGCATTAAGCTTCCCTTCCTTGCCACTAGAGAAATACATAGAAAACATGACATAGATCCTAGGGAGGCCATGAGCCACACTAAACCACAAAGTTAGGCTTTTCACTCTCGAGATGTTACTAATAGTTCAGTCATCTCTGTTTTCCCAAGTATGGTCCT